GGCTATGTGTGGTGGGCAGCAGCAGATGACGATGCACCAAACTGCATTGTTCTACTCTACATCTATGCTCCCAGTCTTCACAGTCCCAGAGGTCAAATGACGTCCAGGACCGACCAACAGCATGGGGGGGGGGCTCTCTCGTGCTGCAATGCATTGACAAAATGACTCTCTCTTGCACGTTCGATAGTTGAGTTAAGCAACATAATCAAAGATCCCTCTCACTTAAAACGTAATTTATCACAGCCAATGCAATGATCCATACTGGGTTTTTTTTGGGGTCATTCCAAAATTATTTTCATGAACCCTCCACCACTCAACATGGTAGTCAGGTTTACAAAGATAGTGTGTGTATCTTGTAATGATCTAATTCCAATAAAACTCATCACCGGTGGCTTAAGATGTTTCACCACCGACTTTAACATCAAGATGCGACGTTTTGAATAAGGGCGTCGATTTCTGAGTTCACTTCCTAATGGAGCTTAAAGCAGTCCAGGCTTTCAAATGAGGTTAATCTGGTTAATCTTTTCATACGAGGCTCACCTGGTTCAAAACTCTCAGATGAGGCTAACCTGGATGAGGCCACCGTACGAGGCTCACCTGGTTCAGGTTCTCAGAAGCTCACCTGGTTCAGGCTCTCAGCTCACCTGGTTCAGGCTCTCAGCTCAGCTGGTTCAGGCTCTAATACGAGGCTCACCTGGTTCAGGCTCTAATACGAGGCTCACCTGGTTCAGGCTCTCAGCTCACCTGGTTCAGGCTCTCAGCTCAGCTGGTTTAGGCTCTAATACGAGGCTTACCTGGTTCAGGCTCTAATACGAGGCTCACCTGGTTCAGGCTCTCAGCTTACCTGGTTCAGGTTCTCAGAAGCTCATCTGCTTCAGGCTCTCAGAAGCTCACCTGGTTCAGGCTCTCAGCTCACCTGCTTCAGGCTCTCAGCTCACCTGGTTCAGGCTCTCAGCTCACCTGGTTCTGGCTCTAATACGAGGCTCACCTGGTTCAGGCTCTCAGCTCACCTGGTTCAGGCTCTCAGCTCAGCTGGTTCAGGCTCTAATACGAGGCTCACCTGGTTCAGGCTCTCAGCTCACCTGCTTCAGGCTCTCAGCTCACCTGCTTCAGGCTCTCAGCTCACCTGCTTCAGGCTCTCAGCTCACCTGCTTCAGGCTCTCAGCTCACCTGCTTCAGGCTCTCAGCTCACCTGGTTATTGTACAAGGCTCACCTGGTTCAGGCTCTAATACGTTGTACTATGAGCTCTGCCCCAGGGTTCTCCATCAACCATCGCCTTTGATTCGTGTGTTATTATTACAAGACATTGTCACGCACACACACGAACCCCGTGTGGACACACAGCAGGCTGCTTTCGGCAAATGCCATTAACGAGCACGTCAATGGCAGCAGACGCAGTGGCGTGCCTAGAACCGCGCCCGGACACCTTTGTCTCCCCAACATTTGACAAAGCCCACGCACGCCGGAGCTTGCTACTCAAGGCTGTCTCCGTCAACCATTTAATGCCGAGTCGACCTAGGGGCCGGCTCGGCACAGGCTTCACAACAACCACGTGCCACCGAGAATCGAACCCGGGTTGGAACCCGTTCGTCGCACGGCGCGCTAACCATTCCGCCACCGCTCCTTACACGTACACACACACACGATCCCACACGTCCACAGAGCACGTTCACCTCGGGTGAACAATTAATTGCTCGTCAATTAGCGCGGCTCATTAACACACAATGCACCTGCTCGCCTCCGACGCCTCCTCCACTGTTAAGGCCTCGCATTAGTCTCGTCAATCCCAACAACGAGCCGTAGTCTCAGTGACAACGACCAACCAAATCGTCACCGCCCACGAGGAAAACATTTTACCCACCGGAGCCTTCTGTAAAAGCCTTCGAAACATAGTTTTTGATGAATAAAAAGCCGCCTCGGACCGCCTCGCACCGGCCCCGTCCTATGTACAGTGCTTTCCCTGTCTCTCTGTGTGTGTCTGTGTGTGTGTATACACACTGTGTGTAAGCTACTGCACATAGACCCGCCTGTGCTTATCCGCGCTGGTAAATGCAATGAGTGCCGCCTACCCTAACTGCGGTGTCGCGCGCGAGGCCCGAGCGCCCCCTGTTATATTTCATACTACGGATAAACATCGGCGTAGGAGGGGAGGGGCCCCCAGAGGGCGGGGTTGTAAAGGGGGAGGAGCTGTCGACCCCCCTGCCCCACCCCCCGGAGTCACGTGCGCGCGACGGTTTCTCACGTGGGGAGGGGGTTGAGTGGGGGGGAAGTGGGGGGGGGGGGAATTGTGCATCACGTGATATGTCCAAATATGGATATGCCGGAAGTGATCACGTGGCGTGATTCAGATGGGGGGAGCGGTGGTGCAGCGGTTAGCGTGCTTGCGATACGAACCCAGCGACCAGAGTTCGAATCCCGCTCACGGCCACCAATACCCTAGGTCGACTCAGCCTAAAAATGAGTATCCGGTGCGTTGTGTAAAATCATCGCCACTGGGGAGACAAAGGCGGCCGGGCGTGGTGCTGGCACACCCACCCCCTCGTGTAACCATGCCGGCCTTCAAAGGTGCTCGCCTGCTGTTGCACTTGCCCCAACAGTCTGATAAGGCTACATAGGGGATCTTTGGGTGGACGGGGTGGTCATTGATATTTAAAAAAAAATTAAACACCAAAGTGGCCTATTGTTGCACAACAAGTTAAGTGTAATCTCGTAATTTTTCCACGGATGTATGCAGGAATATAAGGGGTATGTTAACTTTTTTATTTAAAGCTTTCGTGACTGTAGGGATTCATATTCTTGGCTCTTTCGGTAAAGTCACGTAGAAGGGAAATAATAAAAATATAATAAAACAATGAAAATTCTCACGTTTCGACTGCAACACAAGCAATCATCATCAGGTGTGAAATCCACAGCAAGAAAATTTGAAATCACTTTTTTTAAAATTTCTTGCTGTGGATTTCACACTTGATGATGATTGCTTGTGTTGCAGTCGAAACGTCGTGAGAATTTTTATTTTGTATATTTTTATTATTTTATTATTTCCCTTTTACGTGACTTTACCAAAAGAACCAAGCATATGGGTATGTTCACCTTAGGTTGTTTTTATGTTACTATCCCCAAAAATAAAATTATTAATAATACACACTCAATGTGATTATCCACACAGCAACAGCCGTGTGCGAGCATGGGACACGACGGGAGGAGTGATCCTACTACCTATAGCTGCTGTCTAGGAATATAATTGTGTGGATTCATCACTTTTGCTTCAAACTTTCACGAGCTTTTCAGTCCTGAGGATTTCCTCATCGCTTACAGAAAGTGTTACAAATGGTTTAAAACGGCAGCTTCCCCGCGCACAGCAAGGCTCGTTATGAATTGTTTCATTTCCAGCGCCGGGTTGATTTTGACCACACTTGCATTTGTGACGTCACGCACCTAGGGGGGTCAGACCTTTGTGACGATGTGTGACGAGGGGGGGGGGGGTGAGAAATGGGACGTCACATCAAAATGCGCAACTTAAAAAAAATATAAACACGTTCTACTTACTTAAATAGACTTTTTAATAAATGTTTTCTACTACAACATCAGAGTGCAGCGCCACATTAAATACGCACTACAATGACAATAGTTTAAAGCGATTTGAAGCATGTTTTATTTTCAAAATGGAAATATGGTTTTGGGGGGGGGGGGCAGAGCTTTGTGACGTCATATTTGAGAGGGGGTCTGACTTTGTGACGCCGTGTGACTAGGGGGGGGGGTCAAAAATCGACCAAAATCGCGTGACGTCATTTATGGACGGCCCCTTAACGAATGAATTGTTAAAATCAGCCTTCCGTGTTGTTCTCTCTTTGGCGTTTCTATTATCGTGGGACATCAGTAAACATAAAAAAACATAAACACGAAGAAAAGAACAATGAAAACAAACTCAAACACAATAACTGCCATCACCAAACACAGGCCATTAAAGCCCAAAACCAAGCAGAACCACAACAAAAAGAGAACCAATTACAGCAGTAGGAAAAAAAATGAAACTTAAGAATTCAAATTCTTAGTTCTTTCGGTAAAGTAACGTAAAAGGGAAATAATAAAATAATAAAAATAAAAGAATTTTTATTGTTTTATATATTTTGGAGTTTATTATTTCCCTTCTAAGTGACTTTACCGAAAGAACCAAGAATATTAATCCCTGCAGTCACGAAAGCTTTAAAACAAAATTTGAAGAGCTCAAGTTGCAGGCACCATTAAAAAGCAAAGATGGCCATGGGATGGTATTGAATAACCAAGGACACTGGAAAACAATAAGTTAACAACAGCTTAACAAAGCAAAACATATATCAGATGACGCAAAAAAACACTTTAGGAAGGCATTGACAACCTTCATTAAAGATTTGGAGATAAAAGCCCTGATCTTGTCCAAGTCAAGAACTTGGGAATGACTGTTGCCTCACTTGGCACACCACATCCAGTATAGCTACTCACTTTGGTTGTGGTCACAGAATAAGAATCTTTATTTATACTGGAGGAATCCGATGAGCTATAAAAAGCTCGTTTTCACAGATGTCCAGTTACGGAGACGAATGCCCACCTACTGCAGTCCCCATCAGCGGCACTGAAAAGTGGGAAATTAAATCCTGCCGATGCCTACCCAGTGAATACTGCAAAGAAAGTAGATGATCACAAATATGTATAAGGACTGTTTTTGTTCGGTAAAGTCACGTAGGTAAAAATTTTAATTAAATCTTAATTAAATCACGACGTTTCGGAGGCTTGTGTTGCTTCCGAAACGTCGTGATTTAATTTAGTTGATTTCATTAAAATTTTTACCTATGTGACTTTCTAGAAAAAAACTAAAAGTATGGATCCTTGCAGTCAGGGAAACTTCAAATCTAGAATGTATTAGGACTGTTTTGATATACCTTTTGAAACACAACAATAATAGCCTTTGAGTATGACGTGATACTAGTTAATTACAATATAATACACTGTGCACACCTACACATCCATTGAATGACCTTTATTTGAACATTATTGCATACACCATCACAAAAGTATACGATTCATAATAAAACTTACCATTAATAATCGTGTGCCTCTTCATAGGGGACAAGTACAAGCTAATGGGCAGGTAGCTAGACCAAGATGCAACAACATTATATATAGGCCTACAATTTGTGTGCAAAAAAATCTAGACATTAAACAAATAACCATCAGAGAAAGGAATGGATAGTTCAAAACCTGTGACAGCATATTTTAACACGAGGCTTTCTCGACCAATAGAATCTATAATACAGGTTTTTTGGGTTAGATCGCGTAAATATGAATGTGCTGTTAAACCCGCCACCACCCGACACAGCCAATTAGTAAGTTTCGTCACGTAAACAGAACATGTCAAATCGTTACTAGTACAGCACACCGGTGTGTTGGAGAGCAAATCCACAACATTTGCAATCTTGAGTAGGACATTTCGCCAAATAATTACAACCGGTATCAACAGGCGGCAGTCAGATTTGTGGAGAAATCCACCTCCTGTTTAGGTTCCTGAATTTGTCTGTTGGGATGCGGTCCAAAATCCAACTTGTATTGTATAACATCCCACACTTGTAGATCGGTCACCTATTTTTTTTTAACCACCTCACACGCGGGCAACTCTGTCCCTGCAGCGGAGGGTTGTCATGCACATTACTTAAGTGCAATTAATTTTGGTTGCTACAAGCGACATCCACAAGGTGTAAATATAAAACCAAATAAACAGGCACCCCTTTTTCTTTAGGCGTGTATTTTAGCTGTGTCTCGAACTGTAAAACATGAGCTTCAAGTTTCATTGATCCTAAAAATATATTCTCTAAATCTAAAGCCTGGCATCGCCACCATCGCATACGCTCTAGTGATTTATCAACATCGGTCTGTTTAGCTATCGAGTGTGCAGTCGGTGCAACTGCAACCGGTGGCCCAAGAGGCCCAGACGGCAGGTTCCAAAGAGAGATGAGAAATTGGACAGGGCGGCAGCCACGTCATTTAATTCCCTGCACCAAAGCCTATGCCAAGCATGCTATGCCACTGTTAAAGATAAAAGCCAACAGTATGTTTGTAGTTGCATCTTAATTTACGACATTTCCACGAATAAAATGCTAACGTAAAAGGGTTCCGCGTTGTGCACACTTTCACAGCTCCGGTTTTACGGGCGCCTCTTCCACAGCCTCAGCGCCACCCTCTTCCTCTGCGCCGGGGTTGAAGGTCAGCGAGGCGGAGTTAATGCAGAAGCGTTTCCCTGTGGGGGGTGGCCCGTCGTCAAACACGTGGCCCAGGTGTGCCCCACACTGTCGGGGGAGTGGGTAGTAAGGAGGGAGAACGCAGTGGTGGTGGAGTCAATCGCTGCCCTGTGCCTCCCAATTAACACCGTTGGCTACGTACGGTGCGAAAGAAGTTCAACATACGTACATACAAACCGTGAACATGATATTCGTGAATCTCTTGTGTTGCTATCAGAACGTGCGTTGAGCAATTATCGTCTCGCTTAAAACCTACTAAACCATGGCAACTGACCACATGGGACATTTGAGAAACAGTTGCCTGAAGGTTTTGATTTTAATTGTAAAAACCTTAAAAGGTTATTCTTATTATTTTTTAAACTTGTCTCCGACTGTTCTATGCATAACTTACACCATTACAAAACAAAGTGTCTTGTAAGATAGTCTGCCAAATTCAATGGCAAAAGTAAAGGTGCAACCCTGAAATTACTTGCTCACGTCACTGCTGGCGGAAGGGCCTCCACTAGAGGGAGCTCTAGAGATCCGCTGAGGGGTATTTTCTGCCTACTCTTCCCTGCTCGCCTGGCATCTTCAAAGAGTTGGGGGTACCCACACTTTTCACCCACCAAACGAGAACTGCCGATCAAGTTAAATTGCTGTTTTTTTTCCTGGATTTTCTGTTTGCACTTAGTCACATAGTCACTTTAAGATGTTTTCTTGTTCATATTTTTGTTTGTTGCGGTTGCACCCGATTCAAGAGCCGAATGTGCTCACAGGGCTATACCAAATAAATTAACTTGAACTAGCTGGGTCGACAGAGGCCGTGAGTGATTGAAGAAACTCGGACATGATTTTCACTGTCGTGCCGGGGGATGAATCCAACGATCCAGGGCCCTAACCATTGTTGGCACTGTCCTGTGGGACCGCATATCATGCTGCTGACAGTATCATGACTTGTGGCTGCGAAGAAGACCGATACGTGAGTGGCAGTCTTTTCAATAATTCCTGGCTGTGTAGCTTGACATTTGAGGAAAGGTTGTCCATTGAGACTTTAGTTGTTTGAAGTTTTTTTTTCCAATCTTGAGCTAATCATTAAACCACGGAAGCATGTTGACTTTCGCGGGAATATTTTTTTTTTCGGCTCTTGTTAGTTTGCACGTTGCCCGCCTGCGAATCCTGCAGCAACCGCCCACTGCCAGCGATGGTCATGGGCTGTGGCCATGTCCTTGGAAGATAACTGCTGAGCTCAATGGGGCCTCACCAGCTAAAATAAAGTCTGAGTCGGCAAACAATGAGTGGGTTGAGCAAAAATAATTGCCTACAATCCTAGGATTATATAGCCTTAAGTGGACTAGCCTAGAGGAAGCCCGAGGTGTTGTATGTACGTATGTTGAACTTATTTCGCATCGTACGTAGCCAACCATGCTAGTCGGAGGTGCAGGGGAAGGACAACAAACGAAACACAAAAAATATAACAACAGGTTTTACCCTTTCTGGCAATAAAACAGTTGTGTTTAGATGTTAAAACACCAAACAGAATCATTTTAAAAGGAATCCTGTCTGCATTAACCACACAACTGATTGGTCCACACCAGAGACAGCTGGTGTGGACCAATCAGTTTCAAAGACAATGGATATATTATAAACACATTTCTGCGGAGTGAGCTGGTAGGAACGTTGGGTTGCTCGGTCAATGGCCAGGGTCAACGGCGGCGTGGTGTATTCCGCAAATATGCCCGACTGTGAGGGCGGGCACAAGCTGGCGTGAGTAGGTTAAACGTTGAGTTTTATAAGGGCACCACGGGGTGACCAGCCCCTCCCCACCCAGTCCCACCACTCCCACCCCCACCCAGCCCCACCCTCTCCACCCAACCCCTCCCCATCCAGCCCCTCCCCACCCAGCCCCTCCCCACCCAGCCCCTCCCCACCCTCCCCAACCAGCCCCTCCCCAACCAGCCCACCCTCCCCAACCAGCCCCTCCCCACCCAGCCACTCCCTCCCCACCCAGCCCCTCCCTCCCCACCCAGCCCCTCCCTGCACGATGGATGGACACAATAATCCCCTGTGGGCTGGTGTAACCAGGAGGTTCCTACCAGTATCATAGCATGTTTTTGTTTGCATGTTCACCACAAGTACGTGTGGTTAATGCAGACAGGATTAATTGAAAACGGTTTCTGTTTGGTGTTTTAACATCTAAACACAACTGTTTTATTGCCAAAGGGCCAAACCTAGTGTTAGCTTTTTATATTGCCAAGAAAGGTCCCATATTCAAACACAAAAAGCAGATCTAAAAAAATTAGTTTTCAATTTAGTATAGTGATGGTGTATAGTAATGTAGTGTATCATAGTGTAGCGTAGAGTAGTGTATAGTGTAGTGTATAGTGTAGTGTATAGTGTAGTGAATAGTGTAGTGTATGTATTAACACGTAGGCTGGCGAATTGCCCGATGATGCTGGATGCAATTACCAGCGAAACATCGTACTAAAATTTTTTTTAAATGTTGTAGTTTCACGCTTCAACACACCGGTGGGCTAAAGCAGTGAACTATTTGTCTTTTGTCAACGTGACACTTTTTTGCCGATTGGCCGTGTCGGGTGGTGGAGGGTTACGACACATTTATAAATAACGTGATCTGACCCAAAAACGTTGATTATGAATAGTGTATGTATGTTGAACTTTTTTCGCACCGCACGTAGCGAACCGTGCTAGACGGAGGTACGGAGGGGAAGGACAACAAATTAAACACAAAAAGCAAGGTGTTCTTACCTGGCCGCATGTCACTTCAGTTCGGTGCATTCCATGCGAACGGTCTTTGGAGTGCGAGACCGCATTTGCACTTATGATATTGTAGAACGAGGGCCATCCTGCAGAACAAAATACACTGCACTCATGTCACAGACTAACGGACACGTTTTTTAACGACACATTTATATTTACGCGATCGAACCCAAATAACCTCTGTTATGGATATTGTTGGTCGCGAAAGCGTGTTCAGCTGTCACAGACTCTTTAATAATTTGGTAATGCTGCATTGGCAGTTGTGCAAAAACACAATGAGCAATAAATAACTCACCACATCAGTCAATAAAGTGCCTTAAAATAACAAAATATAATACCGTAGGTGACATCAGACAATGACCTTCTTCAGAGCACAAGTATGTATATGTTGAACTTTTTTCGCACCGTACGTAGCCAACGGTGCTAATCGGAGATGCGAAAAAATTGTTCACACAAATTATTTATGTGTTGTGAAGAAGCACCATTTCTCCAAATGCCACCTATTATTTTTTTACTTTTAAGGCGAATGTGTTGAATTTTGTTAAATTTAACGAGTATATTGATTTGAAGCTTTCGTGACTGCAGGAATCCATACTCTTTTGTTCTTTCGGTAAAGTTACGTAGGTAGAAAAATAAAATAAAAAATAATAAATCACGACGTTTCGATCGCAACACAAGCGGTCGTCCTCAGGCGGAAAAAATAATCAAGCAGTGGAAACTGCTGGATCGAAACGTCGTGATATATTATTTTTTATTTAATTTAATTTTTCTACGTACGTGACTTTACCGAAAGAAACAGACTATTTAACGAGTAACTAAATCACTTCCACAAATCAGGGGTTTCCATTAGATCATTTTTAAAAAGTCAAATTAAAAGCACAATATGGAGCCAATAAAAATTTCAGTTGAGAGAAATTTCACAATTATACAATCAGATTTATCTGCTGCCCACCCTGCCACTTACATGTAATGAATTTTTTAAAATTATTTTTCAGTATTTGTGCTAACATTACATTTAATGTCTCACATTTTAAATAACATAAAAATACACCCATCTAATGTTGCTCAACTGAAGACAACATACCGGAGCCAGAATCATACTTTGCTTGTGATCTAAAATAGGAAACAAAAATAGGACAAACATGATCATTTGTGTTTTGCTTCATGTAACATTAATATAAAGCGGTTAGCAGGTGAATTAAAAATCACAGCATGGTGCTTGTACAGTTGCTGAGAGGAAAGAGCTCATCCTTTCATACAAATTATTTTTGCCACACTTGAAAAAAACCCCCATTATAATTGTATTTAATTCAATTATTTACACATTTCACCATGTTAACCCCCGCCCCCATCTTAATCATAAACTTGAGCCAGCTGAAACGTTCTCTCAGTGGCATTCAAAATTCCAATTTTTATTTTTCACGAGCCCGTTATTTATTGCGTACGTTTCCAAAGGCAGAATCTTTACAACGTAAATTTAAAAAAACACAGCATCGTACGTACGTAATTAAATTATACATCTGCGGGACAAATAAAACATTTTGAGGTGCACCAGCGATGTCGCGGCGACCTCGCGTGCAGTTCATTTTTAAACCTCACCTTCAAGCATTAAAATATAAAAAGCACAACGGCGTCCGGGGAATAATTTTTACTGGAAAATAAAATAAAGCACAAAAGCGTTCAGCATAACGGCACTGTTTGAATACCACATTTTCAAACATTCGTCAGGGCACATGGAATTTTTTCTCGCGTTTAAGATTTCCACGGCCCCCCCCCCCCGCTGATGAAGTGAATTACCACATTCATAGCACGCGGCACAACACAGGAATCAATTTGAAAATAATAGCAATATATTGTTAAACTGTACAAAACGTAACCTTGAATGTCTGGCGATCAAAAAATTCAAGGAAGCCGGTTGAAAGCAGGTGGAGGCGTAAGCCAATCATAAATCGAAATGCGTCCGCTCAAAAAGAATGTTAAACAATCTGGCGTTTAAATTGGACTGAAAGGCTGGTATTGAAAGAAAAGCAACTGCATTACCAGCCATTACAACCGCCAAATTCGTCAAACGCTCTGCGGCTGATAAGCGCCAACACAAGCAGCCCCGCTATGCTACAGTAAAAAAAAATCACTTTTGAAAAGTTGTGATTTGTCAACTGCACCATGGGGGATGGCTGGGGTAGATGGGGTGGGTGGGTTGGTGGTGGTGGGGGGGGGGGCTCGCTAAAAATATCCGTGAACGCTCGACAACGTACGTGAAGAGTGGCACTTGGCAGACGACGCAGCCGTACGTCCCTTTACCCTTGTGCTCCGCAAACTTCCCTGTGAAGGCACTGGGGAGGGAACGGGGAACAGTGTAGAATTCAGTCAGCATTTCTTAGTCGCACGCTTCACGGCTCCGGTAGACGACAAACTGCGCGATTCGAGTCCAGTCTTACTTAGCCCGTGGATCCCATTTAGTCATTGCCTTAGCGACAAAAGCAGGCTAAGGTGTAGTCAACGCTTAGGTAACTAAATGTTGGTGCGAGGGGCGCCCATTTTAAATTCCCCCCAAATATTATCAGGTCGGCCAGTCCGTCAACTCGGTAATTCTTTTAAGGTAGAAAGATAGCTAAATACCATGTTTGATCTTCCTTCGGTAATACACTATCTGCATTCCGAATAGTTAATTTAATTGAAATGATTCACGCTTAGTTGTCGTTAGCACTGCAGCAATCGTCACGCACGATGACTTTTGTCCCACTCAATCAACGTTGACTAAAATAAAATCACACTTTGTTGACACATTTTTATGTCGGTAACTTAATTAACAAAATTAGAACTGGATATGGTGACAGCACAGGTGTCACATGCGAGCCAGAGTAAGCAAACCCCCGCTGAATGAAAGCACTGTCCTACAGTATGCCACGGTGTTCGTAGTACCACGACTCCTCTACTTACGAACATTAGACTTACGAACAAACCTATGGAATGAGGTTTTTTTTGGGTTAGATCACGTAAATATAAATGTGTCGTTAAACCCGCCACCACCCGACACTGCCAATTAGTAAGGTTTGTCACTTAAACAAAACATGCCAATTCGTTACGATAACCTAACTCGTTCGTATGTAGAGGAGTCGCCGTATAGAGAAGTGGTTCCTAAACCGGAGGTCAGCAGACCACTTGCAGTTCGGCAAGGTCGTGATGGGAAGCGGTCCGGCGACACCGCTTCACGTTCAATTTCTTTCACGGAACACCGTTGGAGTCTGTACTGCAGGGTGGTGCACGAAAACATTTTTCAGGGGTTCACATTTTAGTTTTTTGTAAAACCAGGTGAGAAGTCAAGAGACGAGGGTGAGACTCATTTGCAAGGGTGACGGTGCATTCGTCTGGGTGGGTGGGGGGGCGATGACTACGATGTATAATGCCGATTGAGTAATTTGCGGGCAAGTTTTTATTTTAATATTTTTGGTCAATTCGGTCTACCACTGCGAATGGCGTCAGGGCCAACCGGTGTCTCCCAAGCCGCGTGCGGCTCCATCGAAGGGGGCATGACGTAGAATGCGCTCCCACAGTGGCAAAGAACAATGAATGTATCCCGTGCTGTGCCGAATACTGTCAATAGAGAGAGGGGGTGCTTCAAAAATGTTTAACACTTATATGGGACTATCGTTTTTAATGGAAAAAGAACGGATAATGCACTGTAACATGATAACAAATGTAATATTAATAGCTTCAAAAAGTCAAAGAATCTCCACTTGTTCGCCATCGTTTTCAACACGTGCCTGGAATCTTCTCCAGGTGGTCTCCAGAGCCCGGAGGCACATTTCTTGTGGTGTTGTTGCAAATTCTCAGAAGTGTTAAAACATTTTTGAAGCACCACCCTGTATATACACACTTGGCTCATTGCAGGACTCATGGCTACTTTTTGGCACCTGGCCTCTTACAGGTTGGCCACGCCTGCGTCAGGGGATCCTTTGAGGTCCACTGTGAAGCAGTATTATTAAGGTTATTATTATTAGGGTAAAACCTATTCTTATTTTTCATACCTTGATTCTGGTAAAAAGGCCCCATGATACAGCTGCTCACCCCGAGCTATACATTTTCTGATGCGTGCATTGTCTTTGTACTGTCAACCTTTTGGCGTTGTTCTCTGGCCTGACACTGGTGAGACTAGGCCATAAAGAAGGCTGTTTCTGGTGTAGGCAAATCAGTTTCAAGGACAGTGCATACAATACAGAAGTACGTGTGGTTAATGCAGACTTGATTCCTTGCTAAAGGTCTCTATTTGGTGTTTGAACATCTTAACACCTGGTTAATTGCCAGAAAGGGTAAAACCCTATTCTCATTTTTCACACTATGAAGGCCATTACAGCCCGCAGTAATATCCAGGGTGATTGCTGTATCCAAAACGTGTAACAGGCGTCGAACGCCCATGTCACTGTAGACAACATGCCACCCAACGGTGGCACACGTGGGGTACACCGTGTCGATATCTAATGGGGCGGCCGCTTAATCCCTCCAGGATAAATAAAGATTGCGTTTCCGACGGACTCGACCACGGCACGAAAGGCGACGACGGAGCGAGGCACTCACGGCTCGGTGCCCTTCTCCTGGGTCACGTGGAACTCAAGGGGGCTCAATTTCTTGCGGAGCTCCTCCTCCGCAAAGTTAACGCGACATGTCCTCGTGTCCTTGCACGAAGCTGTGGGCACAGCGCAGGGCAGGCAACCCTCTCATGCCCCCACCTTCTTTCCAGCGGCACACCTGAGGCGGAGCTCACGCGGCGGGAGGCCCTCGACGGCGCAGGCTGTTTTGCACTGGCTATTCGCCGAGCCGAGCCAGAACATAACTGTTACATGCTGCCATCAAAATACTTCGGTATCTGGCTCGGGGCTAAGCGGGACGTGGGGGTATTGACGGGTTCGCTGCGTGCGACATTGGCCGCAAGCACAGCGAAGACACAGCATCAACCGTGCCTCGACTCGATTCGTTCGTTTTGTGTGATGTTAACGGCACGGCGGTGGAAAATCAACCCGATGCCTCCTGAGCCATCATGAGAATGAAATCTTTATTTAGACTGGAATAATCCGATGAGCTATGAAGCTCTTTATCACAGATGTCCAGGAAGTTGCAACACTGAACAATACGAAAACAGATCGGAGTGCAAATTATAGGAAAGCTCAGCAAGTCACAAAATAAAACACGGCCCCAAAGAGGGGCGCTTTGCACGGCGGAAAACAGGACCTCCAGCATCTTCCCCACAGGCAACGTAGCACCTTCTCAGACAGCATCACGCAGAACTCTCCTTCAAGAAAATAAAACAAGGTGCGGATACAACGGCATTCTTGTTTTGAGCCAAACGAACACGCTCGGCTTACCCGTGTTGCTCTTGGCCTATAAAGGCCCCCCCCCCCCTCCGGCCCCAAGGTTCATTTTAAAATCGGTGCCGCAGATTTTTTCAAATAAGCGAATGGATTTTTTTTTCCCACAATACTTTTTGACATTTTTGTGCGTTGTTTGTATATGTCCTTGACATTTACCCGAAGAAAAAAAAACATTTTAAAATCCTCGGCACTCAATAGTTGATGCTACCTGGGCAATGCTTCAATACCCTAATGTCAACATAAATGCCGTTTTGCCAAAATCAATATCTCTGTCTTCCCATAACAATCAAAAAAATACAAGGCTGTGCGTCAATCCACTACTCGATAAAGCTTTTCGCTCACCGTGTCAGTTATGGGGGTTGTTTGACCATACTTTACTATGGCTGCTCAGTGCCGGTTGGTGAAGTGGAGGGGGGGGTACCCAGGACCGGTTCAGATTTCAATCGTTGCTGACATCAGCCGAGGAAGAGAATAGAACTCAGGTCACCGGGTCCAAAGCCTCCTGCGCAAGCCACTCCGCCACGACTCCCCATCATCAACTCTGATCAATACACTGTTGGATAAGAGCATCCTCAAAAGCCATCGCCATCGCTCGCTGTCCGCCAAATGACAACAAAAACAAGCAGCGGCGATCTTGGCAAGCCGGTTAATAACTCTCCGACGTCTCTTTGGGCTCAACCGCGTGTCGTTCGGCACGATGTTCGGCGGTTCGCTCAACGTGCTGGGGAGCTTTTTCTAGGAAATCGGGTGCCGAACAAAAACGCTCCATTGCTCGTGGAGCGGAATGATATGCATTCATGATCCGTGTGTGATTTTGGATTAGGCCATGTGTACGTAGTGCAGAACGACACGAGGAACAACGCGAAGAAAACGCACCGGAAAGCAACACAGAACAGCCGCGGAAGCCGACGCAGTGTTGTTACTAAACTCGTTCCAAGTTTTATTGCCGTTCAAATTTTGCCAATCCACAATTGCCAAGGATGTTTTGCCCGCTGGGGTAGGAAGGGAAAAAAAAACAACAAACGTGCGCGGTGCATTTACCGACTAAGGTCGTCGACAGGGCAATGTGCCTCCTCGCGTGAACACTACCAACTGCCCTGCCAGCAGCGCGGACAGCGGTGCAGCCCAGCAGCCTCGCTGCCCAGGACATCGTCGCACCTTAAACTGCAAAAAGGCATCACAACAGCGCTTTGGCCACGGCCACGTTCCACGGGCTCTCGGTTTTTATTCATGGCGAGCGTATGGATCCACAAGTGGTGGACCGCTAGAAGCAGTGACAGCAAAGCCAGCTAGTGCGAGGTGTACGTGGACTCGGGGTGGAATAATTCACCCCCCCCCCATCCCCACCACCCCCTGGCGCTCACACGCCCCCTGCCCAGGGATTGCATTGCCACGATTAGATTCGAGAATGCTAACATCGTGGTACGTGGCAGCCCCTGTCAATCCACTGCTGGATGAAGGTCTCCCCATGCTGTGTAAGCCGTGAGGGGTTGTTTAATCATCTTTTCCCACCCTAATCAGCATGGGTTTGTAAAAAAGGGTTCCAGGACAGGGTCAGATTTCACTCGTCACCGATGTTAGCCGTGACCGGAAATTGAACTCTGGTCGCGTGGTTCATAATACAGTGTGCTAACCACTATCCCACCGTTCCGCCCCCATACATGTGTAATGCGGGCGTAAACGGCCCTCCGGAGGTGACGTCAGGAGGGGAGGAGTTAGGTCACGTGGGGGGGTGAGGGGTTAGGCTATAGAAGGAGGGGAACCGGAAGAGGACGGGGAGTGACGGGGAACCAGGAACAGAGAGAGGCCACGAAGGGCGAAGCGGAGGGTGGCGAGATCGCCACGAACACGGGGGAGCGAGGATCGGCACCGTTGGCCAGCGGTGACCGACCCGAAGCAGCGAGGAGGCTGCAGTCAGCAGCGGGGCTGCACAGAGAGTCAGCAGCGGGGCTGCATACAGAGTCATCAGCGGGTCTGCATACGGTAGCAGCCAGAGGGTCTGCACATAGGGGTGGCAGCGGGAGTCTGCATAGAGGTGGCAGCGAGTCTGCAGGGAGGAGGTTACAGTAGATGAAGCAGAGAGTCAGAGGGAAGAAGAAGCTATAATAGCAGTGAATAGCCGGGGGCTACAAATACAGAGTTATAACAGAGTGCCGTGTGGGTGAAGACGAGAACCCAATAAAAGACACGAAGACAGAAGGAAGTGTCCGAGTCCATTTATTACACTGGAGTCAGAAGTGAAACGGCATGGCGAAACAACTGAGGAAAAAGAATATCCCATCTCCGGCGTCGGCTTCATCATCGGACGACGACGATCTTCCTCCTGAGGTCGGCTTCACTTCGGCGGAGGGAGAGATCCGTGAGGGCCCGGGTGTCGAGGAGGTTGCCGCTGCGTCCGCCCCGTCTGCGTTGAAGGACGAAGATTTAAGATGGACCCGAATGGCGAAGCAGCTGGCGACTCTTAAAACCGTCATCACTGAGTTGTGTGACCTTGTCACGCCAAGGGCGGCGTTGGAGGGGGACGGTGGTGATCGGCAGGAGCCCGGATTGTCTTCGATGGCGCCGCCATCGGCCACGCGGCGTGAAGACGCCATCTTGGGCGTGGCGCACCACGGAAGGCGGGAAGCCGCCATTTTGGGGCCGCCGTGAGGATCGTCCGCCATCTTGGCGACACCGCGTTGCGACGCCTTGCTGAACTTACCGCCGGAAGAGTCAGCGACGGACGGAAGCAGGCCAAGGGGCCGCAGTCGTCACCTTACAACCGTCAAAGAGTTCTCCATCGGGGGCGATTGGAGTGCGTTCGCCTGTAGATTTTTGGCGGCGGTACGTACGGCAAGGTGGACGGACGCTGAGGCACTGGAGGTGCTTCCGACTCTTCTTGATGATGAGTCCGTTCGTTTTTTTCGCTCTATAAAAGCTGCGAAGAAGAAAACTCTGCGTGGGGTGTTCGATGAAATGGCGGACGCGTACGAGCCACCGGATGACGCCCATCGCCGCTTCGTGCAGCGGCAACGCGCACCGGAGGAGTCGCCTGTAGCGTACAGGGGCGCCGTGTTGGAACTCGCTATGGCCGCTTACCCGGAGACGGAGCCTGACCTGCTGGAACCTCTCATCTTGGGGAAGATGTTGGAGTTATCCCGGGATCTGGGCATTCCTATGCCGGCGTGCGGTCACGAAAAACTCACGTCCCGGGCCGCGGCCAAGTGTTTGGACGCCCAGTTCAATCTCCGCCGCTGGAAACAAGTCACGGCGTGGACGGGCGGTCCTGTCGTCGATGGGGGGGCCGTAGGGTGGGATCCTACAAAGGCCATGTACGTGCCGGATGCGACCGGCCCAAAGGAGTTGTCGGCCGCCTCCACTCCGTGGCCGGCTCGAAGCGGGCCAGGGCCGCGGGCTCCGCCGCCGGCGCGGCCGCGTCGGGACGGGGTGCCCGCTGCGCGCCACCCCGACGTCGACTGCTTCCGCTGCGGCCGTCGGGGCCACTATGCCAGGGACTGCTGGGCCCGGGTTCCGGGGCCGCCCCAGCAGGAGGCCTCGACAGCGGACGCCCCAAAGAAAGACCCTCCGGCACAGGCAAGTCGGTGCGTACCAGACACCCGGCAAGGCCTGGCACCTCACTCATCGCCGTTGTTATGCGACGCGGATGTTGTAAAATACGGGAGGCCAGTATCTGAGCCTTGTCGCTCGATAACGCAGTGGCGTAAGCTGGCTCGGTGGGTTGTCGCGGCCGCTACCGGTTCGTCCACTGTACCTGGGTCCATCCAAGGGGTGGACGTGCGTATTTTGGTGGACTCCGGTGCGTCCGCGACCATTATTTCGGATGTGATATTCCATCTTTTGAACATCCCACCGGGGGCCGTGAGGCCGGCTTACGCTTCCTGCATCGCTGCGAACGGGGGTAGTATGGGCATCGTGGGACAGGTGGACGCTAACATTTCTATCGGGGGTGTCTCGGCCTCGGGCGTTGTGTTGATTTCGAGGTCCCTGGCGGTTCCTTGCCTGTTGGGTACGGATTTTTTGGCTAAGATGCCCATTCTAATTAGAATCAATGAAAATTGCATAGAACTACCGGGGGGCCGGAAATTGGAATTTTTACAGTCCGCCTGGGGGCGACCGGCTCCTGTCGCCCAGGTGCAGGCGCTATCGGAAGTTTCGGTTGATATTCCACCTGGCTCTCAGATGCTCATTCCCTTACGATACCGGAAGCCGGTTCCGGGTCGGCAGGGTGCTCTTGGGATTTTGCTGTCGCCGTCCGCCGCGGTTACGGGCGGCTTAGCGCTGGTAGGGGCGCAAACTATTGTCCGTCCAGATCAGCGCC